ATGTATGTATCGTACCTAGCATGAACGGAATGTAAAATTGTAAATAAATTAACTACCCATGCTTATATCATATAAATATAAATATAAATATAAATATAACCCACGATCAACGCCTCCTCCGGTATTTTTTCTTCAGCAAAACGGCTGGGTAGGTGTTGTTTAGTGTTTGTGATGTGTCTCGTGCGTATGTGCATATCGTCTTTTTTGGCCTTCTTTTTTTGCTTTTTCGAATGAACGTTGTGACTTACTGGGGAGGACTCAATTCTTTTTTTAGGAGATGTTTTGAGGGCTGAGGAGCAGGGTGTGGGATTGTTGGAGATGTGGTTATTAGGAGTTTGGATGAGGTTGTGGGATGGATGCTGAAGGTTTGTTTTGTATTTATATTGCAACCTTGTGTATAAAGTTATATAAAAATCGATTAGATATCTATACATTAGTAGTAAGGGAAATAATAAACCTCTCCCTTTTCACGGATAGTAGGTACTTGGTGTGTAAGAGAATAAATATATAATACCTCATGATGAAGAATCCTGCGCGTATCTAGTCTCTCATATGAAATAGCTAGATCAACACTGCATTATTACTATTGTCCGCTTAGTTTAGCTTAAGCTTATATCAATAGGGGTATGTACGGTTTTGTTTGTAACTTTGTATATCAAAATCAAATCGATGTGATCATAATCACTTCTGTGAATGAGAGTATGGATGATGGTAGGTAGGTGAATAAAATAAACCCCTCTCACCGCTTTTGTTTTGCCGTGAACAAATTCATGGTGGTCACGCAAATGGAGTCTTAATGGCTCCATACAGATAGACAGACAAACAGTCTTATTTTGTTTGTAACAAATTCAATTCCATAGTACGCACGCTCAGGGTTGTTGAGAATGAAAACTCTCGATGTGTTGGCTAGAAAGGTACTCGGGTTTTGACAGGAGATATAGTGGAGAGTGCGTGAGTGTATCGTGTTATGTTTGTTGGTTGACGAAGCAGTTCTCCAGTTTCATCGTTATCATTGATGTCAAAAGAAATCAAAACAAAAACTATATCCAAGTACCCTCTTCACTATAACTCACCTTATCCTCAAAATCTCAGGTCAGGTCGATCACTATCCAAAAGTAATATTGTCTCGTCGGCCGGGAGCGCAATACATATCTATAGGTATCATGCCGTCATCCCATTCCTATCATATCTTATCTATATCTCACCCCCATCCTCTCTATTCAATACATGCCTCATGCCCAACTCCACCAGATACATTTTATCGCCCTCCTATTGTAAGACTCACCTCATTTCATTTCATCAGCTCATTTCTACATCTATCATAATCCCTATCCATACAATTCCCTCCTTCCCATCCAAATCCCTATCCCTATCCTCCCAACCCCTTCACCGCAACAATGCCAGCTCCCAAATCCCAATTCCCAATCCCAAATCCCAACACCAAGATACGAAGGACAGTACCGGTACAAAAGCCCGAAAGAAGATAAAGTCGGTGAGAATTTTGAGGCGTACGGATATGTAGGTAATAGGTAGGTAGAGAGGTATATAATAAGCAGTGATATAGATGGTTAGGATAGGGTATGCACGAATATCCACGCCGCAGAATTATTTCGTTTGCGAGGTGTGGATGGATGGGTGGGATGGCATGGGATATTGATCGATATAACTTCCTTGATCCCTCCCGATTTCTCGGGTATGGGTAGTAGGTCTGGAAATTGTGTGGCTGATGATTGGAGGGAGTTGTAAAGGAAGGGGAAGGAAAGTTTGGGTTTGCTGGTGTGTACAGCTTATGTACGACGGTAGGTAAGAATGGAGAATGATGATGTGTATCTGAGATACAGAGTATGTATTGCGAATTGGTAGGTGCCTAGATGTGAATAGATGGATTTGCGCTCTACTCTACATCCATAACCACAACCACACCCACACGGACTCTTGAAAATAGAATTCTGTTTGAGTCTTGTCATAGTCACCCATTACCGAGTTCAATCTCTTTGTTTCCAACTCCGTTGATTCCCTCTTTGAACTCTGGAGCGCACGCACAAGCATGTACCGATCACATGAAATAATCGTCCCGAGAATATGGTTTGGGCATAACGTTATTGTATCCAGACAACTACTCATTTACATTTATTCTCCTCGTCCGTGAAACTGTAAACATTACACTTCAATTCATCCTCCAAGTATATATCACATCTGCTACAGCTACATTTATATATAACATCGTATCATGTTCGTGCGGTCGTACGAAGTCTACGCTATGATATGATATTGATGTCAAATATGAATACCGGTCACCATCCGCTCCCGTTCGGCTACCCTCCGGATCAATTTTTCCGCATCCGATTTCTTGGCCGGCTTCTTGGCCGAGAGGATTGGATATATATGAGGATTGGATGGTTAGGTTTCTAGAGGTAAGCATGAAGGGACGGATACATCGTTCCGCTGATAAGAGATATATTTTTTCTTTTGGAAGATGGAGCTATCAAATGTCTTCTGGAGCTTACCTAGCTATCGGGAATCCCAGGGGGTAGAGGGAAATTCAACCCCTTTTTAAACCAACTCCACCTCCTTCAGGTTTTTGCAACGGAATTCCCTAAATACATCATATACACAAGGGAGATGTCTGATCTGCGGGGAAGCAACTACTTAGCTCCCTATCTACCTACTCCGTCCTGGTGATATTCCATGCAAGATACAGAAGGGAGGACAAAAAGAGAGTTCTTGGTTTCCTTATCGCGCTTTGATGTTCACTGTCTCCTCTATCTCACTATCTCGCTATCTATCTTTCCAGAATAAAGTTTTCTATCTTCCTTGCTTTTATCCAAACTTTGTTTTGCTTTATCATATTGCTTCTCTTCTATTTGTTTGACGACTAGTTACTTCGCGGATATCTAGTTAGTGTCTTGTCTTTGTTGCAAATATAGAAGTTGATGTTGAGGTGATGGATGTGGAGTGGAGTTTTGAGGTTCTGCTTCTAAACTCTATGTACGATGATGGGTTGTGGAGTCACGAGTGCAAATACATATGACGTACTTGGGCAGTGTTACGTGCCAGGGGGGACGAAGATCCAGAAGGTGGAGAGATAGGCATTGTTGTAGCTTGCTATTGGTTGTGCGTGGTTCTGATTATTGTTATTGTTGCTTTCGAAACTGTGCCCCTTTAAAGAAATCTGAAGAATTCCACGTGACCTTAGATGTAGTATCCTCTTCTTGAAATAGGTATGATAGTATAATTGATGCCATCACCTTCGAGTGAGGAATTTAAGCACGCTGAATTGGTTTGTGGTATTAAATTTGGCCATTCTTTATGCCTTTCACCATAGTGGATCATTTGCAGAGATATGTATACGTGACATCAACATGGAGAACATAGTACCTACTCAAAATACTCTTCCAATTCTTCTTTCCGCACCGAAGATGGCTCGTGAATATATTCAATCTATACCTTTCGATTTAATGATGCTGCTTGGATCAATTGATGTGTATGAAAGGGAATAGATGTGCGTATCAAATTTGGTCGAGTGATCAAAAGGATTACGAGAAGTGGTTCCGCTGAGGAGTAGTTGTGCGTATTATTTATTTGGAGCCAAAACTCATTTTCTTATAACAAGAATTGTTTCGCTATACTTGGGTAGTAAAGTGGCTGTCGCCAGTAAGGGAGATAACAAACAGTGACATATTGGCCTTCAGTTCTTGCGCCAACTTGAATCTTGCTTGCTCTTTGATATTAGCCATGATTCTTGATTAGTTTATTTCTTGCGAATGTGTAAGACTTCCTACAGGCTCGATATGGGGCCTTTGTCCTGCAATTTTCTTGAATGTTAAACTTGATCTTGGAGCAATTCGTTTGGGAATTGGTTCTCCTGAAGTCATCTGGTAAATTCTTCAGTGGGTTAATCATTAGTGAATATTCAAAGAAGTTTCTATACTTTCCATAAAGTTCTCAAAGAAAATGCTGTGTGCCTAGAGGTGCACTGATTGTTGTTCAGGATTCTGGTCCTTGAATCATTCACTATCCTGCTGTTTGTATCTATCTTCTGATATCTCAGGGAAATTGTCACATACCATACTAGTCATAGAGTGTCTCCCATGTATAACAAGTATCCAAAGTCAAATTGCCTCCAATCGTATCCACTGCATCTTTGGGCCGATTCTTTCGAGGTGTGATTTCTACTCATAGCTTCTACTGTTACTGAAATCCAGAGTGTCTAACGGTGAAAACCGTGGTCCGCTGATCTAGGATTTTCGATTTTTGAACGTAATTGACATTCAGAAGGAATGCAAAAACTTGAGAACAGTTCTGTATTTGAAAGCAATTGAACATTCAAAACCTGGCAAACTTTTAGCAGTCGGACGGTAATCAGGTGTGTGTCAGGAAATTTGTTAATCTTTTCGTCCGTCGATGTGCCTGCTATGCAGCTCTCGTGCTGACAATGTTTTTATGCATGTTCTACGTGAGAGCATATACTATTTTGGATAAACTTTTCTTGTTTGATAAGGATTGGTGAATATTATATGAGGCTACGAAAATTCTTCGAGAGATTGTCTTTTCCTACAACACCTATTGCATCTAGCATGACGGGGATAACATCAGAGCCATCTGCGAAATTTTTATTGTGAACTTGCTACAATGAGTCTTCCCACCCAATGGATGTCCAAACATCAAGATTCATGGTTGGAAGAAAGTTGCTGTACGCTTCGATCTGAATCGAAGAAGAGTGACACCTTCCCTCTGAAACGATAGTTTCGCAGTTTCGTAACCCCAGATACTGCAACCATCTAGATAAGTGCACCTTCCAGAACAGAAATTGTACTAATATAATTTTTTATTCCTGCAAGATCAGTGTAACTTTGAATCATGTTTATTTGCGAATTCCGATACCATCATCTCATCTCCACCGCGAACTTCACCTTCGGACTTCCCTCCATGCAAAGCAGCTTGATCTCATACGCGTTTTCGTCACAGCAATATCGCCCTCAAGGCCTTCGATTCTAAACATGAAAGCTGTCTTCCAAGATTCTGGGCTTCTTCGTTGTCCCACCGAAATTCATTGCATGATCTTTAAGTTTCTGTCCACCAAAGATTTCTACGGTTTATTCTGGACATGCAAGATTTTGAATAGGATTTCGGAGCCGTTCATGTACTGTGAGATTCAATTGAATTGGAGGAAACATTCGAGACCACCCCGAATCATTTCACTCATCAAAAATATACTCTCGAGACCCTACCTAGCGATTGGTGTAACAGGTCTCACGCTCGGTAGAAGCGGTGGCGAATCCATGCGTAGCATTGCTACAATTCGTGACATCAGACTCACCGTGGATGAAACTGACCTCGAACAATTGATTGAAGTCATCAAGACCTTCGGCATTGATTATGAAGACATTTGGATCGGCCAATTGCGAAACAGAAATATGGACGCTTTCGTGGCCATCTTACTGTGTAAACTCCCGAACTTGATATACTTTCAATTAAATCCGAATTTTTCGTATGACAGTGAAATCATTGGCTTAGTTCTCAGATCGACTGTCTCCCAAGATGGCAATTGTGGAATTGCCTCTTTTAAACAACTTCAGCATGTGACCTTCAAACAGATCACCATAGGTCGATTTGGACGCGGAACTTTGAACCCACAAGACATCCTTCCGTTCTTCTCTTTTCCAAACATTGTTTGTCTATCGGCTACAATTGATGCTCCTGCAGATTACGGCTGGCCTCTAGATTCAAGACCCGTAGCATCAACCGTCACGTCACTAGATCTTGATATGGCAAAGGCAGGAATGCTTTATCACATCCTAAGTGTTACGACCAGACTCAGGACTCTGCGCTGGAGATGGCATCACTATGGCAATTCTGGAACTACGATCCGATACGACGTTATCATGGGTGCATTGTCACTCGTTCAAAATACCTTGACTAACCTCACTATCTCCGCAGAAAATGAAGTGGTCAACGCATATTCTTCTTGGATCGGAGTCACAGGATCATTAGATGGACTCGTAAATTTCAACTTTTTGAAAAGACTTGAGATTAATTTAGAATTTCTACTCGGATCTATCTCAAGCCCGAATGCTCGACTTCGCATTTTTCCTCCATCTGGCCGGACTTTACAGTTTGAACGCATTGTACCTCAGAGCATTGAGGTTCTCACACTCACTGATGATAAAGAACTAGAATGGCAAAACTATGTTCATTATCACAAGGTAGCCACGGCAATTCAATCTTGGCTGGGTGCTTGGGAAACTTCAACACCTCATCTTCGAAGCATTCGTTTTCTACTGATGTATGACTATCAGGAATTTGATTCTACTCCCACCCGAAATCTATACAAACTTGATCGCACTATGCGAATGCATCTCGATAGATTAAGTGCGGCAACGGGGGTTGAAATTGAAGTACGACGGATATATAGAACAGATCTTTGATCCATGTTCTTTTGTCTCCTTTAAGACTACAGAAACACATCACCCAAATTTGGATGATTGGATCAAAAGAAGTTGCTTAGATTAGGGAGTATGTTGAAAAAGGACTCGGCTCATTGTCTCCACACAGTAATCAAGCATGCCGTACTAGCCGTGGTGGGTCGCCCGAGAATACTACTCGTCGAAACAGTCTAGATATGCTTTATGACTTCTACACATACAAACATAAAAATTCGGTATCATCGTATTGCATATTATCTCCGATTGACCCTCTTAAGATAATAGATTTTTGATAAAGAAGCTCTTATCGTCCACCTGGTTGAACATGCGGGGTCATGCTCGATACGCAGAAGATCTCGAATTCTGATTGGTTGAGGACAGGTACGACATCTGTACAATCTTGCACGGCAGTTGGATGTTTTCTTGTTGTCAGGGGTGTGAAATGGGAATACCTGCCTATAGTGGTTTTGTATAGCGACACTTTGCAGTTTTATTGTTGGAAACGTGAAACTAATTGTTATAACTTGTTATCTTGCATTCTAGAGGGGGTATGTTCTGATATAGCCTATCAGGAGGGTGCGTGGCCTGTAGACAGTTCTTTTAAATATGTCCCCCTCTACGCTGAATTCAAATTACGTTTCTATTCTTCATGTTACATCTTTTTGCTTGATTTGTATTTTCCGGATACATCATCATGGCTGGAGTTTTCAAGAGATTCCGAGCTCGGGATCCCGTCGCTCCAGGCAGTGTTCCTTCACAGGATGACTCTATCGCAGAATCACGTACTCCACCGGATACCATCGGAAGGGCAGAAGAGAAGGATGACGCAGTATCAACTGCTCGTGACATACAAGAGGCAGAAACGAATCGCAAATTAACCGCATTCGAGCAACTTCATAGATGGGATCCAAATCTAGGCCAAGATCAACTAGAAGAAATCGATGATGCCATCAATAGACGAGATGGTAATGCTGAAGGAAGAATCTATGATGAAGTCTTTGAGAACTCGCCATATCCTGAGGTGAGACGATGTGATTCTTATTTTGTCTTCTCAACTAACGTGAGAATAGGTTCGTGCAGCGGTCAGAAATTATGACGAAGATCTTCCATGTAACACAATTCGAGCTTGGGTAATCGGATTGGTTCTCAATACTATTGCATCCGGGTTGAACTCTCTCTTTTCACTCCGAGCTCCCTCTTTAACAATCACGTCTATCGTCGTTCAAATGGTCGCGTATCCCCTAGGAGTAGGTTGGACTATGATATTTCCAGATCGAACCTTCAGCACCTTTGGGGTAAAGTGGAATCTTAGTCCAGGGAAATTCAACATGAAGGAGCATGGCCTCATTATAATCATGGCCAATGCTGCATTTGGTCAAGGAGTAGCTTATTTTACTGATACACTGACCGCCCAAAGAGGATTTTATGGACAAAATTTCGGTTGGGGCTTCAACATTTTACTTGCACTCTCCACACAATGTATTGGGTTTGGAATTGCAGGTATGATGCGAAAGTTTCTAGTCGAGCCCGCGTCTATGATTTGGCCACAGAATCTCGTTAGCACTTCTTTCATTTATGCCTTACACGACCATAGCAAAACAGATCCTGCTAAGTCGAATGGGTGGTCCATAGCTAGATACAGATATTTCTTCTATGTTTTTATTGGATCTTTTGCCTGGTATTGGTTTCCAGGCTACATCGCACAATTCTTAAGCGTTTTTTCTTTCGTTACGTGGATCCGACCGAACAATGTTGTTCTTAATCAGGTCTTTGGTGGTTGGACTGGTATTTCTATTATTCCTATTACCTTTGATTGGACTCAGATTACTGGTAAGTGTCTACCCCCGAGCTCAGGACTGTTGGTCGAATACCTGTTCACTGATTCTCTAGGGTATAACCTTCAATCTCCACTTATTCCACCTTGGTTTGCCATTGCCAACACAGCTATTGGTACTGTCTTTTGGTTTATGATTGTGACGGCTGGAATTCATTTCTCGGGACATTGGTATGCGGAATGGTTGCCTATATCTGATTCTAACAGTTATGATAATACTGGTAAACATTACAATGTCACCAAGATCCTAACTTCAGAGTACACGCTCGATATTGAGAAGTATAAGGTACTTTTTCTCTCGCTTAATGACTAGGGGTAAGCGGAAACTAACTTCATCATAGGAATACTCGCCTTTGTTTCTTTCGACTACCTTTGGCCTTACGTACGGCCTTTCTTTTGCTGCTATTGCTGCGGTGATATTCCATACTCTTTTGTTTCATGGACAAGAGATTGTAAGTACAAACTTCTTGATCTTTATGCACGGTGTTTTACACAAATTAATGTCATACTCCCCAGTGGATACTCGCTCGTGCTATCCGCGGAAGTTTAGACGATAACCACACCAAAATGATGCGAAAATATAAACCCGTACCCGGATGGTGGTATATCGTCTTCTTCCTCGTGATGATGGCTATGGCCCTAGCAGCCGTATGTGCATATCCTACGCATTTGACATGGTGGGCATTAATCATCGCACTCATCATTTCTCTGGTTTGGACCATTCCCATCGGTATAATATACGCAACCACCAATATTCATCTCGGTCTCAATGTCTTCACTGAATATATACTGGGCTATATGCTTCCCGGTCGTCCAATTGCTCTCATGCTGTTCAAAACATACGGATACATTACTATGAACCAAGCACATGCTTTCTTATCCGATCTGAAACTCGCTCATTACCTCAAGATTCCTCAAAGACCAGTCTTTTGGGGCCAATTGGTAGCAACGGTTTGGAGCTGCTTTGTTCAATTAGGTGTTTTGGAGTGGGCATTGGGTCATATTGAAGGTATATGCACCAGCGATCAGAAAAATAATTTTACATGCCCTGGTCCGAGAGTCTTCTTTAATGCCAGCGTAATCTTTGGATTGATTGGTCCTCAACGCATTTTTAGCTCTGGAGCTATCTATGGCTCTCTTCAGTATTTCTGGCTAGCAGGTGCACTTCTTCCATTCGTCATATACTTTCTCGCAAGAGCTTTCCCGAAATCAAAGATAAGATTGTTCAGCGCACCGATATTCTTCGGTGGTATGTCGGAATTACCACCTGCTACACCACTAAATTACTTAAGTTGGTGTTTGTATGGCTTCATCTTCCAGAAATATATCAAGAATCGATGGAGAGGATGGTGGATGAGATTCAATTATATTACGAGTGCTGGGCTGGATGCTGGATTGGCGATCTGCACGATTGTTATTATCGCAGCTTTGAATTTGACGGGAACGGGGTTTCCAGATGTGAGCTTCTCCCTGTTGACTTTGGTTGGAGTGAAAGACTAATTGCATTTTAGTGGTGGGGTAATAGCGCACCAGGGAACACAATGGACTACCTTGAGACAGCAGTACAGAGAAAGGTGGGCGCTGGGGAGATTTTTGGACCACCAAAAGGGACTTGGGGATAGAAGAAGTGCTTGTATATTTCGTGCAAGTGCTTGAGGTTTCCTATACATCATGTGATAACCCGAATTGATAATATAGATATCATACGTGGAGAAACTTTAATCTGGTGTGTAGACGGACATTGATATACTACCTGAGAGTGTCAACAAAGAATAGGAATACTTGTTTATGATAACGACTTCGCCTAATTGTTTAATACAAACAGATCACTTGAATATTAGAACGGCTTATTGCTGGCGACGCGCATATCTAAGAGCACCATGAGCTGGCGAAGTATGGTCACCCAATATGTAATTAGAAGTTTTTGATGAATTTCCAGACATATACAAGTTGTGATCGAAAGCCTTGCTGGAAAAGTGTGAGAAACCGCCTAAATCACCTAGAGAGTGGATATTATCAGTATCTCCAGCTGTTCATATTTCATATTTCTCTTTAAAGATTGCCGCACATGGCTAACTAATCGCAAGCTTGAAGTGAAGAGTTCCCAGACGTTTTCCACCCGGAACCGTCGGTATCAAAATCATTGATATGATCATATGAGTCTTAGAAATCAGAATTGACCCATTTTCAGGATAATTTACATGTTCTTACCCCATCTTGTCCATCTGCTCAAACCGTGGATCTAATTGTGAAAGCCGGTGGACAGCACCATCGAAATATGTAACTTGGTTCGCTGACTTCACGCATACCGTGAGCTCTCTCATCTCTGCAATCACCCAAAGATATTTCTAGCTAAGAGCAGGGGAAAGTTCTGCAGTAACTCATGTATATCGCTTGATATAAATGGCAGAAATACAGTTGAATTGTTGTCCATAACGCTCTTTGCCAATGTCTTCAATTCAGGTACCGTAATTATCTCTTGTACTTAAGATCAACGGAGAGAGAAGCCGCAAGAAAAGGTGAGCTGTTCCACTGGATAAATTACTTAGATATTGACCCAAAGCGAAAATGTTGCTGAAAGAGATGAACCAACTTTGTTCTCTTCTCCCATATTCCTCAATAAATCACATGATGTCACAAGGCACGTGCTCTCGTGCAGACTAAACCTCGGCTCGAATGTGTCCTTCATTTGCGGGGGAGCTCCACTCTAACTTCCCCATACTAATGCTCCCCTTTCAATTTAACTCCGCCTCTACCATATTTACATCAATCGAAAGAAAAAGAACTGAACAAAGCCCACCAAGTTATCCAGAAACTATCACACATCTCACCATAATTGATCATGGCATCCCCAACCGCACCCCCCGAAACCACCTCTTTTCTCCTCACCTACCCAACACCTCAAATCCTTCTCATAACCATTAATCGTCCGCAAGCCATGAATTCCATACCCAGTTTCGCCCATTGGGAAGCTGATGCTATTCTCACCTGGTTCGACGATTCCCCTGATTTGCGCGTTGCCATTATCACCGGAGCAGGAGAAAAAGCATTTTGCGCCGGCCAAGATTTAATTGAGCAAGCTAAATTTAAAATTGATCCTCCGCCAATGTCGACTCGTAGGCATCCACCCAGCGGATTTTGTGGTATTAGTAGGCGGGTGGGTAAGAAG